AACGCTGCGCAACACGCTGGTCACGTCGTGACGTCTCGCGACTCGCGCATGCGCCGCCCGCTGTCGTCCCAGCCCGGGTAGTCCAAGTATGCCATCCTCATCGTCTGCGAGCGCCCCCTCATCAACCGCAGCGCTAGCCTCGCGAACTCCAGCGCCAGGCACAATATGATGCGCCGGCATGGCCGCAAGGTCCTCCAGACGCAGCTCCTGCAAGTGCTTCGTCTCCTCAACGAACTTCCGAACGCTTCTCGACTCATTCCGGTACAGCTCCTCGGCGACAAGATTTCGATAGGCCACGAACGGTAGAATCTTCTTTCCGGGCTTGAGCTTTGGCTGCTCGCGCTTCTTGTACGCGTCATAGTCGAGCGCATCCCGCATCTTCGCCGGGAACAGCTTGGCGTAGTACTGCCAGGCCGGCTGCTTTTGATCAGATTTGTTCCAAATGTCAAGCCCGCCTTTGCCGTCCTTGCCCTTCTTCGAGGTCTTGCCGACACGCTGGTGGTAGTTCCCGTACCAGTCCTCGATGCGCTGCGATAATATGAGCATAAGACCCTCGTCCGCGTGAACGACCATACATGGATGATAGGTTTCCAGATCCCTTCTGGCCTCGCTCGACTCCTCTTGTTCGATGCTGTGCGCTCAGGTGGATTCTCTTCAGCCCATTTATTATACTCCGCTTCGCCCTCAAAGTCTTCAGGCCAGCGCTGGCGCCATATAGCCTCGATCCTATGGTACATGGCTTGGTGCCCGCCCCTGATCTTCTTGTTGCTAATGTAGAGGGGCACGTTGTCCTCAAGCAGAATAAGACGACCGCCTTCGAAACTCGGGAGACGCTGCCGACGCGGGATACTGACGTCGTCATTGCCGTAACCAGGAGGACGACGGGCGAGTTCGTGACCAGAGCCGTCTTCGTCTTCGTCGTCTTCATCGTCGGTATCCTCGTGCAGGTCCCGGATGACTTCTTCTTCGCTAGGTTCAGTGGGCATTGGGTATGACGCGTCAAGATATCTCAAGCAAGAGGTGAAGGTGGTCACCAGATAGTTCAGGTGCCCATGCGAAACTAACTAAGGACTTTGAAGGAGCAACTCTGGGCGTCCGAGGTCCACCGCTCATGATGTAAACAAAGTTATCTCCTCACACGGATGCGCCGGAGGTTCACTCTAGCCTCGGTCCTTTCAAGGTGCCGACGCTCAATTCAATGATCGAGTTCCGTGTGGTAACGCAGTAAGAGTCGCTCAATGCCGATACAACCAGCGGCTCTTTCCGAAGGCCGATTACAGTGCCAGCAGCAGCATCGCCCGTACCAGACAAAGGGGGTCCTCGATAAGTCGCTTTCATGCGCCCAGGTCTCAACTGACGCTCGCTGCATAGTTATTCCAGGGCTCAATCGTCTACTGCCGGTCCTCATCGACGCCTTGCAATACCTCCGCACCCCCGCCATGTCTGCGCGCCACAGAGAGCCTATCGAGAACATGATTCGGGACGACACAACTCTCTCCAGAGCTCCGTGTACCGAGTCTGACCTGTACAATCCGGACGGTCAATGTATTCAGACTGATGGCTCTTCCAGCTATGTCCCTCTTCCCTCTGGTTAGTCTCTGTATGTTTCACGTCTTGGCGAGAACATGAACCTAGTAATCCCGACCTTAAGCACACACGCTTGTTCAAGTAGTGTGTGTTGCTATCAAACACCAGGCGGCCCTCGCGAGCGGGAATCTCACGAAGCCTACTGATCTGGGGCCCACGTCACTCGCTGTGCTTTCGGGCCACAACGGTGTGCGCTCAAGCGGCTTGTGAGCTGTCTCTCACGGATTCAATCTGGTACCTCCCGCTCACACACTACCAGAGCTTACGCAGACTTCGAATACGATGGGTATCCCCGTAGAGCAAAGCGAGGCTTCACCAACGGGTCTGATGTGCACGCGTGCTGTGATATCTTCACCTATCACACTGCCGGTCATCGCATCAAGAATGTAAGGAAGGAGCTCCAGCTGTGGACCGGGAATCAGGCGAATAGTGGTCTACGCACTCTATCATACAACGACCGACCCGCCCTGACAGTCATCTAGGAGTACTCCAAACGGCCCTGCATTGGTTCTGTGCACCTGCTTCCTTACGTGCCGACCATCCGCATGCCTACAAGCCTGTTCGCCTTTGTTGCGGGTCACCGGTTGAGATACATCTTGTTCGTTCAATCTCTCGCTTTCGTGTCATCTCCCGGCTTCAGTATAGGCTAGAACGCCTGAGTATGACGACCGCGTTGTCTACCGTCGCGAGGTGGACGCTGGGAGCGTGTGTGTGTCCGTTATCCCGACCTTGGTCTACTCTGACGGACATAAGCATCAGTCACCCTTCAGGCCTCAAGGCCGAGTTCTCTGACGACACGGACTTGTCTCAGTACTTTGTACCTCGGGTACCGTTAACGGTTGATGGTGGTAGATGGCGACTCATCCCCCCCTAGTACTTGCTGCTGAAGCCATGGCAGCGCATCGTAGGTCGTTCAACTCGCTGCATCCGATTATCTGGTAGGGCAAGATAGCCCTAGTCTTCTAATTTGACGTGTACGTGCATTACTTTGACCCTTCAAGCTCGATACTGCGGCCGCGGCTGAGTGGTGTTTAGTATGCGCGCTGCTCGGTTGCTACCCCGTACACTGTCTGTCGCCAAGACTTCCTCCGCTCTCGAAGCTACGTCGGGCTTGTGGTACACAAGAGTTGATCGCGGGTTCAAGCCCATAGCCAATGCCCGTGGGCCTCGTGCCGAAGAGCAACTAGCTGATTCGCTTGACGAGGCGGGCCGTATACCCAATGCCGCGCAGCTGAAGTCGGAGATGACACTTTGCGTCTAAGTCGTACACTACTCGCTGTTTACCGTACACCCCTTTCGATCGGGCTTCTCTGGCTTGTGAATCTGATATATCATACGCGCCAATCTGTTGTCAAAGCCGAGTACCCGGATGTTCTGCAATTCGCAGTCTATAGATGTGTGAAGCCTTGTGGCTTCCGAATCCGCACAAGACCTCGAGCGGCCAGCGTCTTCTACTCACTGGACTAGGGCGTGCGTGTGGGTTCTGGGAACTTACCCATGCATATTGACCGACGACCGACCCATGCTCTAAACTGCTCTCAATTCCTCGGCAAGCAGTCCACGAGACTGCCCTGCGGGTCCACAACCTACGCCATTATTTGACGTGTCAACTTGTGAGCTGTGTATCATGCCCATGCAAGGGCGGAAGTGTGCCGGTGCTGCCTTGTTGTTTCGCACTTCTCCCTGGTGCAAGACTTGAAGCTTGAAGCTGGAGCCTTGAGCCTTGAAGTCCGAAGCTGGAAGCGGAAGCCGCCTTGAGGACGGAAGGCACGTGGCGCGCACACTAATCACCCACGCATTCAATTATCCGCATTGCGCACAAGGACGCGTGGCCTTCGATTTTGACGCTTGACCTTGGACCGCGATGTGGCGCGGTACCACTACCAACCATGGTCGGACTGTCTAGCGGCTCTTCGATTGCCCATGGCAGGGCGCGATCTGAACCTCAGGCTTCGTCCGTCGATGATGTCGGCTAGAAATCCGCGGTATCTATCTCCCCAACTCTAGCGTGACACTGGCATTCTGCTAACAGAACTTGCAATTCATACAGAGCGCTCCAGAGGCAACGTATCGGCTATAAGTCAGCGTCTACCTACTGTATGGTGATACGCGACCTTGGTCTATCGTGCCTTGCACCTGGTACGCCCATTTCATACGTACCGCGCGTCAGCGCGCGTCGAATCTACTGCAGGCTTACCTTAACGTAGGCACAAACTTTGTCACCCCATGGCGCGCGTTCGCTATGTCTTTGCATCCTGGTTCTTCATCCATGACGACTGGATGCGAGGAAAGCAACATTACTATCAGCATCCACGACATTATGGCTTCGCTAGCTCAGAGAGAGCCTTGGACTTCATTATGCGTTGCTACATCGCAACCTTCCCTTCAGACGTTTATCGGGCGATGACTGATGAGAGCCAAGATGCCGAGTTGCGCCAACGCCATCCAGAAACATGGTTTCTCGGTGGGTACGCTATTCGCCAGGTCAGTCTTCCAACATCAACACGAAATGAATATTTGATCTGACCTTCTGAGCGACAGAATATGCTCCACTGGCTGCAGTGCTACTGTAGCGCTCAGCCTCAATCTTAGACTTGCGCTTGACTCGGCAGATAACAACCTTCGTGTAATGTTGCGTATCGTGGAGTTTGCAATCTATCTCTCGGCGCTTGCTCCTGAAACTTGTTGCCGCGACGGCTCGGTATCGCCGTGAACATATGTCGCGACTTGTGCCTGCTGAGTAATACCTCAATCCTTTGCTCTCCGTCAGAGAAGTTGACCTCCCGGGGAAGCTGGAAAACTCCCGGAGCCGCGTCTGCTACTGCTCGTAGCACACCAAAGAGGGTGAGCCATTGCGCCATAGGCTGACATGTGCCACGCTCTATGTAGCACGCGATCTATACTTACTCTCAGCTGCCGGAGAGTGGCTTTTTGGCGCTAAGTCAGTGGCTTGCTAGCTCATTCGTCAGATTTGCTCAGGCTTCTCCCACCGTCGATTCGGATAGCGGACAATACATCCCGATTAGTCGCGCTTTTGATAATTCGCAGGTCTATCTCTTTTAGACCATGCAAAGCAGATCGAATCTCTCCTTCGTTCTCTCTACGTCTTCGCTCACTCCCAGGACAACCGCTGGCGAAGCTCCTCTACACGCTATTCAATCGTCAGCAGGTGATCGTAAGCGTGAGTGGTGCGCGCTGCCATCAAGGACCCAAGAAGAAAACTCAACGCTCAGGCGCCAGTCTTGTACAAGACCCACCACTTCGCGTGCCCTTGATAATCCGTCATCCATCCTCCCCAGCTCAACGGCGCTGTCCCTGCATACGATGGCTTCCTCATGTGATGAAGCAGCGACCGGATACTTGGAAGTATGTCTTGTACGCAGGCCTCATGCTTGCCCCGCACTGAGCTCGCCATGCAGCCGTCTCGACTCCCTGGTGACGCTTGCCCGAATGTCATGTACGATATTCCGTACGCCTGTCTTTTCCGAAACCCTTTCAGTCAGCACTCACGATGTCTCGTCACCAGCGTCAACTGCGACGGCGATATTGCCCAATCCTCTCTCCTTGTATCCGACAAGGATGATAGCTCGGTGCGTTTCAACCCTGCAACCTTCGCAGACACTCTGCTTACGTGCTATATAGTCGACAGCTGAGGAGAGCGTGATGATTCCAGAACACGGAGTTTCCGGCACCGTTTCCGGGACTCTGTCCTTCGCCCTGCACCGCATCGTGCTTGCGATGGATTCGCCATTTCGCCTCAATTTTCAGTCGCATGTGATACGCCATGACTCTGCTTTGCAGCGAAATATGGATGGCTGATCGATTCAACAGACACGTACGTGCGGCGAGGGAACGGAAGACCTTTGGACGCGCGCTTCCGACGCGGTGGAGACTATCACACAAGGCCAGGCGTTCCACGAACCCCCTGAGAGCAGTGTCGCGGGGTTAACGGTGAGAACTTCTCATGAGTCCACAAGCGTCTTGCACGCACCAAAAATGCTAACGCCGATGTACAGGTGTTGGCTCAGTCGAAGTCTTCTGCTCCCTCCACGGAGAGTGCCAGCAGCCCGTACATCGAAGGATCATTCCTTGAAAAGGTTACTGAGTGGCGCGCTCGCATGGAGCAGTAAGTGCAGACACTATTGCTTGAACCAGCGCTCACCATTGCCGTTGCTCAGGTTGCACATTGCCGACGATACGGACCAAGATATTGACACAAAACAAAACTTCTATAGGTGAGCACGGTCCTCGATCTATTCTCGAGCGACGGTTAGCTGATACATAGACAGTGCTGCTACAGCTCATTTCATCGACAGGTACCACTCCAGTCTTTCTCCTTCAAGGTATGTCTAGTGTGCTTGGACAGCCCACTGCTCGTAAGCTCATCGGAGCACATAGCTCGATGCCCTCTCTCCAGAGTGTCACGGAATCTGAGACGGGAGAGGACTGGAGTGATGTTTCAGACTCGGGCTACGGCTCAGAGATAGATCCGGAAATGCCCGAGTTAGAGCCGATTGCTTAGTGATTCAGGGCCGGTAGCTTCCCATAAAATAAACCCCTATGATCTGTTTCTATGCTTCTGATTATACCCCTTCTTTGATATGATGACTGTTGAGAATTCGGGCCCGCTTGTTCGTATTCGTATCGTTCTCCCTCCGGAAGTTGAATCCTCCGGTAGTGGATCTGAATGTTTAGGTTCAGATTCGCCTTTCAAGAGGCTGGGACGACATGTTGCGAAGTACAAAGGCGACAGTACTCCAATAGCTCAAAGTGCTACGACCTTTGTACTGGGAGAAGCATCTACACGCCGGCACCCGGTGAACAAGGGGCAGCAATGAAACACGGCGATGCAGAGCCTTCTTTCTCGGTTTCCGCAGGTTAAGGTGTCGATCCGCAACCTCCGCGGCGGCCTCCGCGTGTTCGCGACCTACATACACTGCGGAGAAACTCGACGGGCCACGAGACACTGTCTTCGTGGAAGCTACATCACTCTACATAGAATACACCTCATCCCCGAAGGAGATAATCACTGCAGCGGCGTAGCGAATGATCATCATCGTGCTGAACTTAACCTTCCCCACCGCAGCAGTCGGAACCCTCTGACATTTGACACAATTGCATCCGGGTAGCGTGTAGACCGCAGACTCATCTCACGAGGCCGCGCATCATTCACGACAGGGGGCTTGCCGCGGCGCGGCTCAATGAGATGCGCGCTGGCTATGAGAACTGGAATCGACTAAACAGAGTTCGAACAACATGATGAAGAACATTTCGTGTCAAGAATCGCGCTTTGAAAGGAAGGGAATGAAAAATGACGAGGGCACGCGTGTTTGAATCATTATAATGGACAAGAGCTTTGATGGCACAAGGAAGTACATACGGGCCTAAAGTTCCAGAGGCCACCGCCCTACTCCTTACCCGTCCACGCCAGATACACCGTTCCGGGCTGCTGCCGAACTGAATCCTATTGCGCGTACTGCGCCGACGAGCGAGCTTGGAAGGTCTTGTTACCGAGGGAGAGAAACGTGGCTACCTTCGCCATGGGATCTTCGAGAGCCTTATCCTCGGAGCGGTGCGTAGCCTCGTAGTGCATCAACGCGTGACGGCGATAGCGGAAGACCTTCCTACACCCTGAGTAGCTACAGACGAAGGCTACTTGATCATTAGACTTCCCAACGACTGCCCAATAACGACTTACAGCGCTTGTAGGCGGGGCCGGCATGTATCGCGTAGTGCTTCAGCATGTTCTTTCTCAGAACGAACACGGATGCGCATCCTTCATGCGGACATGGAAGCGCTAAGATTATAGACGTCGACTGAGCCATTGAGCATACGGACGGCGAGGTAACGCACTTCGCTTTCCACCCAGCTTGATGAGATGATCTCTAAGCTCGTAGGGGCGGTCGAAGGTCTTATCGCAGTGAGAGCAATGACGGTTCTTGCGTACCCGCGCGGTGGAACTCAGACGACGGCCGACCGTGTACATGTCAGCGTCGAGTCGCTTCGGGCTCCTAGACAAAGGAGCGCGATTCATTCCGACCACGCTAGGGAGGACTCGCCCTGAGTGTGCCGCTAGACTTGGTGGTGAAGACTGCTCAGCCAAAAGCGGATGCACAGGACGATATACAGAGTTGAGAGGCGCAGGCTGGGATCGAACTGGATTGGCGACGGATCGAGGAAGATAATCTATGGCAGTTTCGTGTTAGTAATAGCCAGGCTGATGACTTGCAGCCACACACTGCCAAAGAGTTCTCGGAAAGGAGGCAAGGAGTGGGAGTGAGCCGGTGACGCTGAGGAGGACATGAAGGTGAGAGGCATGGTTCAGGTGGCGGTCTTTCTTGAAGCGCCGGTGGGAGCGGGGGGACGCCACTCTACAACGACGCGCATGTCCCTTTTTACAACGCGCACAAATCAATGACCAACTGTGGGGTGCAGGCGGTCCGCGCGTGGTAGTCGCCGGTGTGATGGCGCTCGATATCGTGTGAGCTGGCAGCGAGAAGCATATTTCACCATCCCCGAGGAGGGACGAGGCAGACTTGAGAATACTGTCGTATCTTTGTAAGGGTAGAGGTGCCGAATGGCAGGCGGGAGTGCAAAAAGGGACAGATGAGCATGTGGGTGAACAGATCGCTTAGAAAACTTTCCGACAGCCGCCTTCCCCCAGGCATACGCTTGTCGTTTGTGTACAGTCAGGACGGCCTCGACTTGCTAGTCAGCCGAGCACAAGCATGACGCCGTCGAGATCAAATGAGGCTGCTCCGAGCTGTCGAATTCATCGATCGAAGAATGGCATTTGGCGACATCTCTGGCTTCATCTCGTCCCCGCCCGATGACGGCAGGTGCACAGAGGAGCAGTGACTTTGCTTCTACGGTCACGTCGGTGCTTACTTCAATGTAATGCTTTCTAGTGCCAGCGGTACTTTCTTCTGGAGCGTACGACGCCGTGGTTATCATGGAGCTCAGGCGCTTTCGGCCCCCCAGGGCGAGAGTCGAGGCTACAGCGTCGAAGTCGGTGCGAGTTCATATCCCTAGGTAAGGAAGCGCCACAGAACAGACCATTGCTTCCGAGAGCGAGATGTCGGTGCCGATTGAACTCGCAGGCCGGCCAAAGCGCGCTTCTTCCCGACTTCGCCGTCTCTATACGGCCACTGGCTACCCTCGTACAGTCAATCTTCCAGCCTTGACTACGGTTTGGACGCACACAGCGACTGGATAGGGTGGTTCTTTCGCCCACTCTATGGTATTGATATTACAACAGATGCCTAGAATAGCCGCAGCCACAGATGCATGATTCGGCGTTCGTCCAAAAGTGGCAATGGATCTCGCTCGTTGTTCGATCCCAGACCTAGAATATCGGGGTGTCAACGTCGGCATTTCACAAGGCACACAAGGCAGGAGAAAGACGCCCAGTCTCCCATGCTACAGAAGAGACGCTTCAACTTCTCGGGCGCTGAGTGACCGGTCGATTGCGCCAGTAGTAAGCCGAAGAGACATATTGCACTCGAGAGATGAAAAGCCATGGCCGAGGGGGAATCCGGACTACATCCGGGTGGTCACGTCTTGTCACATGTGCCATGGGAGCTTCCGATTGACGTTTGCTGGTTGCCTATTGCCATCTGGGTCGCCGATATTGGCGCTGTGATCGCAGGAACGCAACTGCAAGTGCCGGTCCTTGATACCTGTCTTCTCTCATGCGGCGCTTATATATATGTTTCGACCCAACCCACATGCCCTGCCATCATCCGCAAACTCGCCTTCCTCTGCCCGCCTCCGACCGCCCGAATTCCCTTGAGACTGGAACTGCGGCGTGACGTTCGTGCACTCCTTGATCCAATATGATACCACTGGACGCAAGCGTGGCGGCCGATATGGTCTTCATGTATGTCCAACCCTGCATTGATTACGTGCGCGTATAATCGCTCAATACTTTTCCAGAACTCAAATACATCTGTGTTGTCAGTCCTCTGAACGAGGGCTCCTGTAACCGCTAACTGAGATATGCGTTTATCATCGTAGCTACGTGTACGTCATTCCCCAAAGTTGGTCTTCCAGATGCATTTACACCCCTTATAGATGCGGTTTGTGTCTGGGACTGGGCTATCAGTCTTCGAACAGAGCGGCAGATTGTGCGTCAAGATCGGAGTCTTTCCCCTATCAGGTTAACAAGCGGTTCAGATTTGGAATACTCGCTGGACGCCGGTAAAGGCACTTTATCTCTTCACCAGATACTGGGTTTTGGCAACCATGCCATTCACACTATGGTGCTATTGCGCTAATCACGACCAGAAGACGTGCGACAGGGTCTATCGGGTGCGTTTGGTCGTTTCAGAATCGTAAGAGTTCCGATGCTGAAACCCATCTTCCCAGGTGCCTCTGGCCGTCGCTCTCTGGAATCAAGTCGGAGCCGAAGGTGCGCATCTACAACTGCCGTGTCTTTGCCTACTCAAGATGTCGAAGCCATACTGCTCTTGCGAACATACGCGTTGCACGGTGCCAGTAAAACCATACTAGCTGTTCTGAGTACCATGCTCTCCGTTGTTGTGGCTTATCAAATTTGGGTGGACGTACGGAAGATGCTGCGTGCGTACCCGGTCGAGCCATAGGAGCCTGTGCTGATCGTCTGCACAGCCCTTCCATTTCTCAACGGCGTGAGTGGGCCCTGCCTGCCTATGGCACTACCTGGCGAAGCACATCTCCTAGGTTCGAGATCGTCCGTCGCCTTGTCGTGTGTATTGAAGTACTTTACAGGTTTCTTCGTCGCCCCTCTCCTTTTCGACACCATCATCACCGTCATGACTCTCGTGAGGACCATCATGATACGTCGGAGGAACGGACCTTCTGGTCATTTGATCCAAGTCTTTCTCAAAGAAGGCTTCATGTACTTCGTCCTGATCTCCAGTGCCAACCTGGTATGCTCCCGGTCATTTACGCAAATGCAAACACCCTGACAGGTCATGTACAGCTCAATGGCATGTTCTATCTACAACGTAATAGCGAGATGTCAGCGATCATGATCCCGTTGAGCATCATGCTCGGCCCACTGCTCGCTTGTCGTATGGTGCGTACTGGCCTTACTGCTGTAGTCATTGTGCTCAACTATTCCCTGGGCCATCAGATCATCGACTTGCGCATACGTGCGCATGACGGGTCTATCAATATACCCAGAATTTCCCGGCCGACCTCGGGAACAGCGTGCGCGCGAAGCGACCACGCCAGGCCCGTTGAAGAGCGCGAGTCCGCACCACGTTCGAACGTCAAGCGCTTACCGGATGTGGATCTTCCGTCCATCGAGCTCAGCGACTTGTCGGTTGACGACCCGGAGCGCAAGTCGGAGTCATCAGTCGTTGCGCAAGCATACCATTCAGTTCGTCTCCCTCTCGGACAAGCCTCTGCTGAGGACGTTCAAGGCGACGAGGAGACAGGATACGCCGTTATGTGAATGAGCACGATCGCCAATTGACGACGTTCACTCTCGATACGCTTGTCTTCGTATGGACCTGTTCTGTCTGTCTTCGTTGCGTGTTACTGCATCGGTTCTATGTAAGACTTTGATGCCTGGCTATACCTAGTAAAGTCGTGGCGCGATTGACTCTGGTGTTGGTTGATATCAATGACATTTCTTGGATCGGTGTCCGTATACGACAGCTCGTCTTCGGTATCTGCATAGAGCGACGGCTTCGGCCGAGTTCATAGACTTGCTCGTGAGGGCGCCTGATCTACTGTACATGGATTGGGCTGGAAAGAACGAGAAGACTCCGTGCCACGTCATATATGTCCAGAGTGACTTGTAGCTCGAGCTACGATGGTTCCCATGTCGCGCAGCACCCGTTCCTACGAATCTTCGGTGCGAGCGACGGCGAACGAAGAGTCAACAGCCTTGATGATGACGCGTACGTGGACCCTCTATGTGTTTACCCGCATTTATAACCTGCCCATTCATACATGCTCGCTTCGAGACTGGAGATGGCTGACTGACAAAACACGCCGATGAGGCAACGTTCACTCAACGCTTTCGGTGACGTATGGCTCCTCTCTCACCAACTTTGCATCTCAAGCGTATCGGCATTCAGGAAGCGATACATGTCATACGCTGAATTCGTACGATATTCAAGGTACGTTCTGACGGGGTCTAGTACGGCCTTTACATCCACACCCCTCTTGTCGCTTCTGCCGCTAGATGTCTCCTTCTTGCGTGAGTGAGCAAGACGAGTGTGCATGCGAAGAGCAGCTACGAGACATCTGTCCGCTGTCAAAGAAGGCCGAAGGCCTAATGTTAGCGTATTTAGTAGCCATCCTTGCTCAATGCGCCTCTTGTACCGGCGTTTATCCTACCCCAGGCTCTAAGATACAACGTTACACGGAAGAGTCCGAGCTATAGACGATAGAAGTCGCCCGACGCTTTGGCCAACGCCGCTGATGAAATCCTGATGGATTGCTCGAAGACATGCGCAAGCTATTGAGGAGGGAATAGCGGTGGAATTCTCAGAATCACTGAACTAAAGGCACAAGATGAAACGGGCGCAGGCCGGTTCGTGGGCGTGCGCTTGAAGTCTCATGGGCGCTCCAGCAGGGTGGTCGAAGAGAATGCATGATCTGCGTACTTTATTCTGTCGTCGAAGCAACGCGTATATCTCGCGCGCCTCCGGACACCCATCCGATTTCCTCCCTCCTCCAGTGAAACGCATCCTCCTCCCTTGTCCCCGCTCTCCATATCTTTGCATATCAATGCCGTCTGAGCTCAAACGGGATTCACGGTCTATCGGCTCTGAAGGCAGTCCCGTACGCGGTCGTAAGCGAGTTGCCCGGGCGAATGCAGGAGTTCAAAGCGCTCCTGATAACGCACTTGGTGAGTTGGTTTGATACGCGCGTGTCCTTAATCACAGTGTACTGACACCTGTTCCCAGGTTTCAACCTCACCTGGACGGACACATTCGTGGCAGATGCGAAGGAAGGGGCTGTTACCACGCCGACTCGTCGACCTAGGACGTCGTTTCGCCCGCGCAAGACGGAGCCGCTGCCCGGTGACGCGGGTTACAGCGCCCCCACGACCGCCCTTTCAAATTCCAATCCCTCCCACAAAAGCAACCAGTCGAAGCTTCGACACTCGGAGGGCCATGTCAAGCGGCCGATGAATGCGTTCATGCTCTTTCGGGCGGAGACGGTCAAGCACACCAGCATATCGGACGTCGATACGGACCACAGTCAGATGTCCAAGATTGTCGGCGAGACATGGAATCAGTTGCCTCCGCAGGAGCGCCAGGTCTGGTACTCGAAGGCCTACGCGGTTGCAGCGGAACACAAGATTAAGCACCCAAACTACTCCTACCGCCCAGTCAAAGGGTCGGCCGAGATGCCCAAACGCAGGCAGCGTATGTTCAAAAAGCTCGAGGGGCCGCGCTGCATGCACATAGCTCAACTACTACTGGAGGGGAAGAAGGGCGCGGAGCTTTCGGCCGCTCTAGAAGCGTACGATCGGGAGAACGCCGACATTGTACACGCGCAGTTCGAGGAGCCCGTCGTAGCGGGTTGGGGCGCTCCCGCCGCCGCCGTTGTCGCGCAGCCTCAGGACTCCATCGAGGCCACCGCCGCCCAAATCTCCCCCCCAATACCCTCGACATCGACGCATATCCCGTCCCCGAGGTCATCTTCGACGAATCACTTCACACCGAGAGGCTCGACAGACGACACAACGTCGCCCACTCCGTCATCATCCACAGCGACATCATCCACGTTATCATCACGCGTGGCCGTATCGCCCTTCGTATTACCATCCTTGGCGTCACCACATACAACGACATCTCCATTCGCTTGGAAGCTTGACGATAACACAGGCTACAACACGGGAAATCCACCGATGCCTTCACAAGCGAATGTAGATCGCTTTCCGTTTGCGTTGGACCCGATGCCGCTTTTCGTAAGTCCCTCGCGCCGTCCGCACATGGTCATTTATGAACTCCAGACTGCGAAGGACTCTGCAGCATCCCAGCCGCCGAGCGAGTATCCCAGCATAGACGGCTTGACGCCGGGCGCAATAACCAATGGTATCGCTAGCCAGGAGAATCAGCGCGAAAGTCCAGCACTCTCCTTTGGCCACCTACCGTGGGTACATGGTCAATTCGAGCTGCTTCCTGGAGCTTCGAGTCGTGTATGGGCTGAAAGCGCCTCTCTCGTTGAACCATGGGGTCTCGTTGAACCATGGGGTGCGACGTCGTCACTATGGCCAGACTCCGCCGAGGAGAACGGCCAGACGCGCGGGACCGGGCTCCTATCCTCGGACTTCTTCGGCGAAGGCCATCACGCGGCTCCTCCGCCTGTTTTCGAGACGGACGGCAGGGAGTTCACGTGCGTGGGCGTCGACGACCAGCTTGCACTAGCTCAACAAGCCCTGCTCTACGGCCAGGGGCCTGAATTCGGCCATGCTGGATTCTGTTCTGCGCCGAAGGGCGCCGAAGGGTACGAGGACGCAGTCGTCTTGAGCGAGGCGGCGTCGTCTCTGCCGCTCAGGGAGCCGGCGCCTTTGCCATATCGACCATTTGACCAGTTCTTCCATACTTCCTGGTGAATACGTTCACCCTTAGCGCATGTTCGTCTTACAAAATTTGCTTGTCACGCACCGTTCCCCTTCTTGCTGATGTACATGTTCTATTGAATCGGGTTTTACGAGTGTGACAGGCGACTGCAAATTCCGGGCTTGTCGTTTTCATTTACGCTCCATCTTGTGCGAGACTGGCACGGGAAACTATTTCCCGCGTGAACTTGCGATTGGCAATAGTCGACAATGCTCACGGAAAGACTCCAGGTCTATACATTTGCGCAGAGCTATAGACAAAGCCCAGTCGAACAAATATCGGCCCGACCCGAGATTCCAGTAAGCGTGTATGAACTCCGGTAAAGGATGACAGTCGGGAATATAGATGGCGGTTAGGCAAGCTGAGAAATACGCCTAGGAAGAGCGCGGGATCAAGAAGTTTTTGTTGTTGGATCTACCCTCATAGGTGGCCTTCGGTGAGTGGAAAGACTGACGGGAGAGGCAGATCGGCATGTGGGAGTGAAGGGGCAACTCGAGGGAGCAAACCGCGCGTCGCTTCTACGGTCCACGCGACGCGCGAGGACTTCAAGGAGCCTGAAGTTCAGGGCTCAACCTAAACCACCATGCGACATGCCTAGCATCCACTCGCATATTGTCGCCCCTCCTTACCGCGAACTACACGCAGGATTTCGGATACCGCGTCGCATCCAGGGCACGACGGCCTCCTCTTGTACATCTCCTGTCGATTAGTGGGTGAGTGTACACACTCTCCTTCGAAGCCGTCTCTCCTCACGAGATATCTCCGTCTTCAAGCTTCCCAGGCGCTTGAAGAGCGAGCGTTTCTGTCGCCATGGATGAGGCGTCGATAGATTCGAAGACGTGACCTGAAAGGGGAACGGGATGGCGACTCACTCGATCCGATATCGAGCTTCTCCCGCTTCCTCTGCCACGAAGAAGAGCGCGCGGCCTCAGAGTTCAAAGCAGGCACCTGTGGTAGTGGCTCAGATCCAGGCTCGCGGTTAGATTTACAACAGGATGCGTCGTGGCCTCGATACTGTGTGCGTAACCTCCTTCTCTAGCGCTACAGCCATCTCACATGAGACACAGACTCTAGCCAAGCTTCTACAATGTTGTGGCTCAGAACCAGTTTTTGCGGTCACGTCCACTCCGGGATACGTCGTCGGATATCGTGTGCGTAATTTCCTGCTCTAGTACTATAGTCAGCTCACATGGGACGTAGACTCTGGCAAGCGCTTGCACAAAGTTGATAAAGACGTCATGTCACTCGTCCACCCATGGACACAACTACAAAGCTGGCTCGTTAACATGTGCTCCTCCTAACGAGCCCATGCGCTGCGCAAAGCAGGGCGACGTCAGTCATAGTCATAATCTTCCTGTAATTTATCTGCTTATGACAAGATGCGCTCCTAGATTAGTGCAAACCCCTCATTTTGGCTTGCCCTCGCATTCAGGCTTCGCCGCTTGAACCCACTCCCTCGACAACAAGCTCTAGATGGTCAGACGTCGAAGACTCTGGAGGGTACTGTCTATCTAACACGCAAGCACTTGCACCAACCGGTCAACCACTCATGAGCTATCCTCCCGGTCTACACGCTTGTGGCCTTTTGCTGCGTCCGCTGTATACATTAGATAAGCCAGGAAAGGTTTGCGCACAGACGCCTTCGAATCCGGCTAAACCACAATGACAACGCTTGTATATGAGAATTTGCATGCACACGCGTATCTTAGGATAGCGCTTCTCCTTCCATAGCGCGTGATTGCAGCTACGTCTCGATATGGGCGGAAGTGCGACTTGTCCTTCTCGCGCACGAGCGACCGCGTCACATTTGCACTTGCCTTGAACGCTCATCTTTCGCTTACGGACAACTGTCGCCTTGATGACCGAGCCCTCCCGCCCGATCCCTCCGACTACGTTCGCCTGCCATCAACCGTGGTATCAATACAAGATTCTTTCGGCTAGCGACAGTCTCACTCAACGACACAACATGGACGGTCAACGCCCGCAGGTCCCTTACCATCCCAATTTCGCACATGGCTACGAGTTGTTCATCACGCCGAACCTCAGCGGACAAGGCGCATCTTTTCCGACTTCGTTTTCTCTCGAAGTGACGTCGACAACGGAAGACTACAACGACGGCTCGTCCTTCACGTTCAGCCCTGGCAACGCCGCGACGACGCTCAGTCTCTCTCCGCCCCCTTTCAGCGGCCGTTCGCCTGTCGGTTTACCGTGGCCAGCTCGTAGTGATCACTACTCGGATGAGCCGCAACTCTCTGCCCACGTCATCGAGCCCCCGCACCACCGTCAACCTGTGAGTGATGAACGCCTTGTCCTGAACGGCAACAGCTCAGCTCGGGCCTTGACCAAAGGCGGTTGCCAAGCCTTCAGCGGGCGCCATCACGACGCTTACTCGCTCTTCCATTCGTGTCAATCCTGATGCAATACATGCGGATACTCAGCGCTCAGCGCCTATCATGACTCTAACCTTATTCGCTTCGCTCCCTTTGTTCTGACCGTGCAACGTGTCATTCCCAGCGCCCGTATTCATGCCAGATTGGGAACTCGGTTCTCGGTCTTCAGCCGCGTACGGACACGCTGACCCTGATGCACAGGACGATGACGAAAGCGGTATCATACGTGTCACTGTGCTACCACGCCAGCCGGACCTCGATGCGCCCGGGTTCCTCAGGAGCAAGCTTGGAGAGGCGAAGTGGGATCTGTTCCGTACTCCCGTGCAGGACCGCCGACCACTTGTCTCTCGAGGACCAAGTAGGTCCGATGGAGAGAGATCCCCGTCCGTCTCTATATATTCGTACCTACTCAAGGCCGAATGTGTCAAGGAAGTTCTTCGCGCGTTCCTCCCGTACGTACGTCAGCACTACTCTCCTCTTGCATATATCTCACTCTTCGTGCAGCCACACATATAGCTCCGAGCGATCCGCCACCATTCGTCATACGTGCCCTAAGGGGTATGTGCGTCTGACACGCCCCGCGATCCTTGAACTCGCGGGCTGGTCGAATTCTCAGGTGCGCTGACACGAACCATCGCAACCCTATGCAGCTGACATTTCGACAGTTTGGTGCTTGGCAGCGGCGCATTGAAGCAATATATGTTTACGCTCCCTATCATGCTGTGTTCGCCGAGCTCAAGACTACGCTGTACAGACTGCTCTATGGAGATCTCGATCCGGACTTCCCCCCTGCTTCCCCGTCAGGCATAACGGGCAAGAACATCGAGACCCTCATGTCAGAAGTTAGAAGCCTGACCAGCGTAGAGCCTTACCTGCGGGGCAATCGCTCTTGTCTGGATGCATTTTGTGCTCCTGACCTAGAGCCTGCCCGCCTACGAGAACTGGGAAACCCTATGTATCAACCACATATACCATCAAGCGTACGACCTGATGCCGACCAGAGGTGGAAGCAGAAGCAGACGGGCAACCCTGAGCCTGAGTCAGGCCCGTCCGTGTCATCCAGTGCGTCTACTGGGGGCGTATCAGTGGGCACGCGCTCAGCTTCAGACTCATCTGCTGAAAGTCTTCGTCATGTCGGTGTCCAAGGCTCACGAACTCCGCGCGCCGCTAGTCCGAGACTCTCATGTCTTCCTGATTCCGACTTCTCTCGAAGGACTGAAATCGACCACGGAGCCCAACGTCGCTCGTTACATGCGCCCGGAATCCCCCTCTCCGCTGCGACATATGCTTCTTCTTCCTTTCCCACCAATAACGGCGCTGGGCAACGTATCCAAGACCAAGCACCCAATGAATGGGTTCGGTTCTCGGTCAACCCTCTCTACAGCTACGGTCGTTATGACTAATACAAGATGTTGAAAGCCGTGATGTATACGTCTACCTGTAGTTCAGTCGGGTACACGAATCTCAATCGCTCCCCTTCATTCGATGATGAAACCTTGACCGTCTCTGGAGACGCAGCATGGTAGACTATCTTCGACTCTATTGACTTCAAGTTCCGAGTTGCCTCTCACACAGTGCTGCGGGCTGGACCATCCTTGAAAGATTTGAAAGCCCTGAAAGATTTGAAAGAGTTGAAAGATTTGAAAGATTCGAAGCCAGACAATGCATCCAGATCGGCGCCGGTGATTTGCGGTCGGATGGTTGTGCGCTCTTCATAAAGAGGACTAGCGCATGAGAGTCCACAACTCTCCCGAAACATCGACTTTCGTGACCATGGCGGGACCCTCCTACCAAGTCTTCCCTGACCGCTCCGCTAATCATTTGATGTTTCTCGTCAGCCATGTCCTTCTCCACGACGGCTTCTCCGCTGCTAACTATGCGTCTCAACGTACTCGGGACGAGGCGACTGCCGCCTACCGCGTCATGGGCACCCGTCCTGTGAATGTAGTGGGCTGCATCGTCGAACTACCATTTACCTATGGCAACATCTACGAAATTGGGGCCGTTGGTCCCTGCGTCTTGCGCGGCCGTACAATTTCTGTGCATTCGCTTCGCGTAAGCACCGCGCTCGTGAACGGACAAACGATCGACTTCTGGCCGGCGTACGAGAAGCTCATCATCGTCCCATCTCCAGACGCAGCGTCGAGATCGCTGAAGCTCCGACCCACACCGCGCACTCTTGCTAGCCATACCATCGCGTCGCTGGAAGATTTCGCTCGCAGATACCTCCATCAATTCGCCGGCAGTGACCGCGTCCACCCTGACTTCCATGTTAACGTCAACCTGTCGTACCCTCCCGCTGTCCGCGTTATGTCACCACAAGAGTGCTTGCTTCTTCACGTAGATGCTAGCAGTGGGAAACGTCCTTCCTACGCCGCGGAAGCCTCGAAGGATGAAGTACTGGAAGAGGTACCAAGGAAGCCTGCTGAGGGCGAGGGTGAAGTTGACTTCGACCTCTTTGACGAGACACTCATCGACGACGAATGTGAGGGCGATCTCGCAGATGTCTCCGCAGAGGGACTAGTGGCCGTCTACGTTGGTGAGCTCGGACGGTCGAAAATCGAGAAAGCCGCTCATCACATCCCATAGCACATCGATACAGACCCGCTCTGTCGCTGCCGTTCAAGGGTCGCTCATTCCTGGCATACGATCCCGCATTTGATGACGAACGTGCACCGAACGACGTAGACTCATCAATCGACGAAGGTGCATCCGTTAGCGAGTGCTTGATCGTTACGAATTTCTGACGTGCCACAGGGACATTAGTGGAGGGTTCGTGTACAGGGTCTTAGTACCACAGCCTCAGTGTCTGTCGCTTCATGTGGTATCTCGATTAGTGGCCGAGGCGTAGACGATCAATCCAGAGCAGTGCTTCATGTCCTTCTACTGCATCATGCACACCTCTCAAACTTTCCACGCCTTTCGTAATCGCGCGTCAACGATTTCCGATCGGCACCTGCTGCCTCCGACGACCATGGCATCTGCGCACATGTTCTTTACACGGCCCATCAGCTCGTACACAATCTGCTCGATGCGCAACAGCTCAGCAAGGCGCCCATCCGTCGTATGTAAGCTTGGGCGGACGTCACACCCCGCGAGTAAGGTTGTGCTGCGACAGTGCCACCGCAGCCATAGCGATCGTTCGAAGGCATCGCTAGCTTCTTCCCTGGCTGCTCTCACGCACAGTCTCGACGAGTATCGAGTCCACAAGCTGACGCCGCAGGCCTTTGTCTCTGGAATTTCCGGACATCAGATAGGCTCGACTCGTACTAACTATGACATCTCCCCATGAGCTCAGCATGGCGAGGGGCGGCAGTGTGACGCATCGCAGTCTTAAAGCCCTTACCCATGGTGGAAATCAGAAGCACCCCGGACCACGCGCGCGGCGAACAGCGACGCGACGCGTCGTGTTGTGCCGTGGACCCTGGTTCGTCCTCACCGCCATGTAGTCATACTGCCGGGTATAATCAAACTGAATATCTTGACTTGGCCCGAACGAGGTGTGCTGGCGCAATGCATTGAGATGTCAACGCTACTTCAACAAGGCCTTAGCCCTCGCTGCCCTGCACGCCCTCATCATCTTCGCCCTCGTACTGGCCGTCTAGCCCGTCGGACTCGGCGTCGTATACAATCAAGTCTTGCTATAAGCCCTCATTGCTGATGCCCTGCTCTTTGTTTGCGCCCGCGTCTAGCTCGTTCAAAGCCTCGCCCGACCTAACTACGTCAAAGTTCGTCGCGTGTGGCGTATCAACGTGGTCTTTAGCCGTCACGGCTACAGCGCCCAATCTCCCTACTCAAGTAGCGCTGCATCATGTGACATGCCCCGATCTGCGGATCTACGAGGGCATCGTTGGGTACGTTTGTTAGCATACCATGCATGCATAAGACTGACCAAGATACCAGATGGGTTCGAGGTCACAAAAACATGGCAGGTCTTGATGGCGCTTGAAGGATTAAGGAAGCCGAATACACCGGGTTCGCGATCTCGAGAGACAAAACCGATCCCGTCAAGCCGCAGAGCCCTGGTCTTTAACCCAGTCTGGACCTGAGCCAAATCAGCGCACGAACAAACGCCGGGGAAGAAAACGTTCGCACGGTAGACGGCGCAGACGCGCGCCCTCGAGAAAGGGCGTCAAGTCTCACCGGCAGCCGGCGGGTCCTCGTTCGCGAACATCGGGACATACAAATGGTATATGAGTTCTGATACAGGATTTCAGTAACGACGCCCAGCAGTGTGCGGGCGCTGGCACGCTCAGTAAGGTGCAGTCGCAGAGCTCATAAACTCACGTGGGCGCGCGGATGGTCTGATCGTATTGCCGAGAGCCGTGCCGCATCGCGCACTGAGCCTGGCATTATCGATGTTCGGAATGCGCGACGCAGCGTGCTAGTGAGAGAAGCTTGACTGGAGACCAGTCAGCGGCGTGTGTATCCGATGTTCAATGTGAGGATCTTCGCAGGTGATCAGGCGTCCGCTTCACTAACTATCGAGGTGCACCATATAGTTTAGCGTATGGATGGACAAATGGACGGATAACGGGCAAGATAGTTACGCTAGGAGGGATCTAACTATCCATATGGATGCATAGTTTGCGGCTTGGATGTTTGACTGGGCACCAGTTATCCGTTCGTGGTACTAACTGTCGAGGCGGATTGTCTAGTTAGCGAGTGGCTTGAACGTTTAACTAGACGCTAGTTAGCCGTCCGTCACAGTAACTGTCGAGGCACCAGTTATCCGTCTGTGGTACTAACTGTCGAGGCGGATTGTCTAGTTAGTGAGTGGCTTGAATGTTTAACTGGACGCTAGTTAGCCGTCCGTCACAGTAACTGTCGAGGGCAACGGCTAGTTTAGTGCATGGGCTTGTAACCTGCCAGATAGTTACACCACACAAGTTCTAACTATCGGTTGGGACGTATAGTTTGTGGTACAGACATCTAACTGGGCGCTAGTTAGCCGTCCATCTCGCCAATCGTCGTGTGAAACGGCCAGTTTAGAGCATGGGCTCGTAACTTGGCGGATAGTTGCATCAGGTAGCCTCTAACTATCGTCGTGGGATATACAGTTTGAGGTCCAGATATATAACTGGGTGCTAGTTAGATGCCCGTCTCATTAACGGTCGAGGCGCGTTGTCTAGTTAAAGCAAGGGGCCGTAACGTGCAGGATAGTTATGCCAGCTAGCCGCTAACCGTTGTGGCCGGTGGCCTTTTCCAGACCATGTGCGCCATAACCCGGCAAGTACGAACTATGCAGTCAGTATGGCCTCGGGTTCGCAGAAGTTGCTTGGTGCATAGAACGTTGCGCGTGCACTGCGACGCTGAGCAACGTTGCCCTCAAACTCGGGGCGGTCGTCGAGGCCGGCCTCCCCGCCTTTGATGTAGAAGTCATCGGCGTGTAGCTGTTCTAACACGACCCGACTGAGAAGCTCCGGCGACACGTCCTTGACGCGGTCTGACAGGGGTAACAGTTCGATTTCATGCGAGAAGCCTGTATGAGTTGTATTAGTGCACTGGATGCGCAAATGCCCGAGGCGAAGTCAACACGCACGAGGATTAGCCGCCAGTCTCGCAGACGGCAGGTCCTTGTCATTGAGAACCGCGAGGGCTTCATTACTACGTTGACCCTCGTGCGCATCCCGCTCAGCGCGCGTGAAGCGGTGCAGGCGGGCGTTCGTTCTACGCCTACGCTAGCGGGTGCCCCGTCTGCATGAGCATGGGCGGCGCGAATCATACAGGACATCGCTGTCGAATACGCCGCACCGCCCACGATATGTCCAGAACGCTGTGGTCTTGCCGAGTCAGTCAATCCACTTGAGAACTCCGGGAAGGCCGTGAAAGCAGGTTGAACGTCGCCATGGCTTCTTTGTCGCCTTGATGTGCTTGAGCTTGGCCATGTATGAACAGAGCCAAGCAGGCGAACACTCCGGCGTCTTCTGGTGGAACGCTCTGCACTCGCGAGATCTAGAGCAGTCGGATGGCCCGGGTCGACCCAGTCTGCCGGCGCATGCGGGTTGATGCCAGTGCTACAGTCGTCATCGACGCCTGCGTCGCTCACCGTCAGTTCTTGGAGCAAAAGTATGGGGAAGGGAGGCGGCTCATCGATCCTATTGAAGTAGAAGAGGTGATTGCGACCTGTACAGAAGCTGTAAACGTATGAGGAAGATCCAGAGTCAGCTAAGCTTGTAACATCCAAGCGGGCCCAGTCGTTGACTTCATGCCTCCGAGGCATGCGTGGGTTCAGACGGGGTAGGGCAGTAGAAGTTGGCGCCTATGCGCAAGACGGTCGGCTAACGATGCTCGAGGTCGTACAGCTTCTTGACCTGGTAGGCCTTTGCGGGGCAGAGAAATGCCCAGTCGACTGGATGGGTAAGTTCAGATGGTCAGTTCAGGTTCGTGTATAGCGAGTGGGGCAACGTACGAGGCGGGTGATCAACATCCGGGATATCGGGATGGTCCTCTACAAAACGGGAGCCACAGATACACATCAGCGTTCATGCGCAAAAGAGTAAGAGATAACAACGCACCGAATCCGGCATTCAAACGCCAGTCAACGTGGCAGTGGAAGAACCGGGCGAGAGTATCATCACATATGAGATATCTGCTCTCGAAATTCAGAAAAGCGCAAGGAAGACGCGCCGGGGTTGTTTGTCCCAACCGAATGGTAACAGATGGTAACGGCGTTGATAGAATCAGTTGAGTTGTCGATGGCTACGGCATCGAGGATGGGTGGGTTCACGTAGTTCCTCGTGTTATCTCCGGCCGATGTGATGACGGAGAAGGTGCATCCGTGCAGGTGCACCGGATGACTATTCAACGCTCGTGATCAGCACAAGAGGAAGACGCTGAGCGTATATAGACTCACGTCCAGCTTGAGCGCCTGAGATAACAAGCTCGATAGCCTGGTTCCTAATGATACTGTGTATTGAGCCGTGCGGCATAAGCTTCGCCGGAGGCCTTCCGCTCAAAACCAGCAGTAGAATCGGAGCTCGATCAGGTCTAACAGCATCCTCCTTCAGCGTTCAACCCAATAAGAACAGCAACAAGTAAGACGTACACAGGAAGGAACGAAGCATGAAGGATCGCAAAGATCCCATCCGCGCTGAACGTCACCTTGAGCAGCATACTCCGGTCCGCACCACCAGGTCCCGGCCAGCCCGACGACGACGCGTTCGAAAGCGGGCGCAGGTCCTCGACGGCCGGTGCGCCAGCCTAGCGCAGGATGGCGCTGTTACGGCCGTCGTCAGTGCTCCGGTCGATACTTGATTGAGGGTCGGGGATGGAGCGAATCCCGTAATTTGAGACGGGTGGGTTGGCGGCCATCTGTCAATCTGGGGGGTGGGATGACGGCGGGGCGAACGCAGGGAAAGAGGGCATACCACTAGGGAGTAGCGTTGGCCGGCGAAGATCTGAAAAGATTCGATAATGTGTGGCTGGCGGCTCGTCCCGTCGACCTCGCTGACATCGAAGGCGTGTCCATCGATGGTGAAGAACTAGCTCGCATCCTAGATGAGCATCACGAATACCTTCGATCATACGCGCATGCGTACGCATGAGATCGACGCTGTAAATCTTGATGAGCACTGCTTATGCAAGTACTATCAGAAAGTGCTATGGCTGACCTAAGCGGAAACGGCAGCGCTTGCCGGCTACAACTCTCACGATTGCGAGCAGGGTATGAGTTCCGACGTCAATGTTGCGCCCCTTACCATTGATCAAGGCAGTATTCGGTTGCCTGTGGCACCATCGCATCAACCTCATTAACCACTTTCAGAGCAAGTGCATTGACTTACGGCTTGCATGCAGGCGCATCGGTCGAAAGGCGGTGATACCTGTGTATGGTGATTCAGCATGACGGCCGAAAGATACCTGCGCGAACGAATGAAGTGCGCGTACCAGTCAGCAATCGTGATGACAGCATCGTCGTTGTCGACGTCGTACAGCGACTTCCGCGGGTCATTCGAGTCTATGGCACCGGATCAGTGGCGCTCATGGGTTCCCAGATGCATCGAAGCGTACCATATACGGCCAAGGGTCCACGCAGACCATCGCAGTGCTAGTTCTGATAGCGGCTACGATGTGTAAGTACGTGTTGTTGACTGCAAGCACCATCTCAGCGAAACTGTAGTACCAGTGCTAGACACGTCGTGAGTTCGTGCTGCAGGTGGTGGACAAGGATGAGGCTCACCGTTCCAGCTTGATCAGGTACTTGGAACTTAAGTCAAAGTTCTCGAGCGGTACTGCCACTCAATCAGCCCAACCACTAGACGTATCAGTGCACAACGCGACGCACGTATAGGACACTGTGTGACGAAAGATAGCCCATCCGCATGGGATGAACTATGTTGAAACAGACCATGCCAATGCTACATAGAGTTGCGCTCAGTACACGCGTCAGACCTGAACACGATGCTAGATGAACATACGATAGACGTAACGGTACCAAGCTGGTTGTCCGTAAGAGCGTCGAAGACGTTCAAGTTGAAGGGGTCCTTGATGAGCGGCGCGGGGAATCGGCCGTTAACGCCGAAGGTGCTACACGAACGAGCGCGAGTAATGAGCAACGCATATCGAATGGGCAGTTACGAGTCATCCCTGACTCGTTGATTTATCCTTCTGCATGGGCTTGAATTTTGGCGCGGATCCAGCTCGTGAAAAAAGGAAATGGTCTCCCACGCCCGCCGCGGGCGCGGCTCTTCGTCTCAACCTCGATGTGTCTCTGTGTCCAGCCGTCGCCGTCTTCTTGTTGTGACCCCCTGCGCTCCATCCTTACTACCCACTAGAATTCTTGTTTGGCCACTTCTGGTACTCGCTGACTGCTCGGCATCCGGGATGATAGCAGGCGATGTGGAGATATGGACCTTAGCCGGGTGGATACGAGCAGACTTACGGCGGGTAGCGACGTCAGTCGGGTTGCAGGCGCCGTGCGAGTGCGAGGTGCGTATGCGCGCATGGCCTTTGTGCATTCTGGTCGGCTTGATTCACTGAATAATCGCCATTACAGGTCAATCTACCGTTGTCGCTATGTGTTCACCGCCTCTGCTCGGCGGAGTATGTGGTGTAGAGCTTGAACGGAAGGCAACTCCATCATGGACTACGTAGACGAAATTCACGGATGGCCTGTGGGCGATACGTTTTGCTCTAGCATACGTGCCCTAGCATACGTGCCCCAGAGAACATTGGGGGATAAGGTACGCGCCCGTGCCGTTCCACCGCTGAATGTCGACTGACGCTTGCGCGATAGAACTTCGGGACCAATGCTCCTGAGCCATGCAAGACAGGCCCCTTGGGTACTTCTGCATTATACGGTGGCCAAGATGCGATAGTCGGGCTTTACCCCACGGTGACGATCGGTCCGCTTCGTTATGGCAATGTGATGGCTCTGGCGAAACGCTCAGACATCTTCGGGCCACAAGCAGGGAGAAACAGGCGCCAAGTTCGATTGGAGCAATGAGGACGGATGCCATGATGTAACTCGGATGTGACACATCTGTTGTTCACGACCGATGTGATAATATGCGAATGAGTAGTTGCCTTCACCCGGTACGCACCAGGATTGAGATCTAGGCGTTGAATGCTCAGAGGCTCATCCACACTAGGTTCCTACGGGTCTTGTCATGCAGACAAGAGCTGGGCGGAAAGGTGGAACGGTGGCGATTATCCTGTCATGGAAGAGGCGTGAGACAACGCGGAGCTCTGTCCCTTCCATTATTACAGAGTTATGCTACGGGCGTGTGGTCAATGAATAACATTGTGCATGCGTAGCTCTCGTGTTGTCGCCATGCAGGTAACTCTGGATGTTAGCGCCCGGCCAGGCCTCGTGGCCCCCGCGTTCGGCCCGGTTCATAAATCGTGGCAACTGACCCAACTTGCCCGACATCGCTTCGTTTCGCGCGTTCTTCCTGACGGCCATTACCGCGTGACTTTTACCCTGCTCATATCGATGCAGCCTGTAGCCCTCGTCGAGCACATTCAGTCTCTTACGCCCGATGGTGCCCGTGAGGCTAACCCGCGTGTCGTCGCTGGGATCTATCCTGGCCGCGGTGGGGTTGACGATAACCACGCCATGCGCTGTGATCACATTTGGCTGGCCAGGATATCTTCGACCGGGAAGAGCTACATCTGCGGTGGGTACACGTATGATAAATCCAACGTGCGCGACAACAAGGACGGGTTGGAGTGTGGTTTTCAAGTATCGTGTTCAAGCGGTCAGTTAGTGAAGCTTTATATCTCTGATCGCAACGCTGATCGCACTCTGATAGAGGTCGGATTCTCTGTTAACCCAAGCTGGGATGGTCACTCGTATTGGGGTTTGTCTGGCTTGACGGAGGGGGAGCGCGCCGAGCGTAGGAAATATCTGCAAGGCAAGATAGATGGGAATCCAGTTCCCGCGATACTGGCACGATTACAGGCGGAAGGTGCGGATCTGTCTTGCTAATGTGGAATTGAGTGTTGACAATTGCCAGATGTCCCTAAGGCCACGGCGCGATCGAGTAGTCTGTTCCAAATCGTGTGAATGAGATTTGAAGAAGCTGACTATCTTGATAGGCAACAATGCCGCTCGGAAGGCTGGGAGAGGTACGCCGTCGATCTTCGATCTAAGCTTTGTGAATGTAATCTAAGTCGTGCGGGAGAAGGTTCAGCCGTGGGCGTGCCCATTTCGCCCGAACGAGCGGGTTATGGTGAGTGTTTAACCTATGGCAGCCGTGGTCCTTCTCTAGCCGTGGTCTTTTAGCGATACCGAGGCCGCCACCGCAAGCGCTCAACAGGGAGGGAGCCAGTTTTGGTCAGTGTTGCATCGTGCATGAGGCGATCTGCGATAACCTGTTATGCATGTAGTTCCGGGCCTGCCTGGTAACGGGGTATGTGAACGTACATGTTGTACCTCAACGGTTTTCTTACATGAGATGTTGTTATCCGACTTGTAGAAGGTAAGTACTGTCAATCCGTGATCCTTGATCTGTGCTTGACGACGTATAGCTGGCGAACCTAACAGGCTCCGTGCGAGGCGGAGGGGGCAGGCATGCCAAAAGCCAGTCACTACCAGGGGCGATCGACCCGCCGAGCGGTGGACTCGAGCCAATCGCTCGCGCGCATGGTCGCCAGACCAATCCTGTGAGTTGTCTAGGAGTAGCAGGGAACTTGTCATCTAATTTATACAGGGCCTATCGGTTGGCGCAGGCTATGCTCATCGAGACGTGCGAGCGCCATCGGATACAGGCTATTTGGCTGGTGGTGTCGCTCAGCGTCGGGATGCCCTGGAGGTCCAATCGTCGCGTAGGACGTGGCGTCGCGTTCACAGCAACCCCGAGAGCGCCTTCTCGGCGCGCGAGAGCACGTTCCCGGCGCGCGAGAGCATCCTTCCGGCGCGCGAGAGCCGTTTCAAGCCATATGCTCCTCTCTCGTCGGGCAAGGCCCGCCGCGCTTCTGGTTCCAACGTTGGACCATCTCATGCAAGTGCTTCGACGAGCACCGGTGGCGGTATACAGCACGCAGGCGTGCTTCGGAAGAACGTTCATGGCCCTGGTAAGCATGCTGGTCGTGCCTACATGACAGACGGTACGCAGACGTGGCGTTATGAGGGAGCAATGGGCTGGGTCGTAATGCTAATCTCTATGTGTAACAGGCGCCCGGGAAGAGAGTCCTGCCTTATCGTGGCACATTCGAGACAGCGTTGCGCCAGACGATCTTCGTGAAGGCAAGCGCCCTGTCCAGAGGCCTCTAGGACAAGCAATAGTGCTAATGGGTTGACCGTCGTGTTTCAGAGCTCGAGGCTGTGAACCGCAGGCCGCCTGTTGTCATTGGGTGGCAGTCGGGCTCGAACGCGTACAACTTGGAAGATGAGCTCGATCAGGCTGAGCTCGAGGACTTGATTCGGCGTAAGCAGTGACAATTTCCAGTCAACTTTATGCATGCTGTAACCACCTTCCACAGCCGCGTCCCTGTCGGAGCTTGCGTCCAACCCGTCCTCGCAGACTTTGGGCTCGCCAAGGGATACGTGAGCGTCAACACGTGTCTGTGATCAGCCCTGGCGAGACGGGCCATCGGGCTTAAGCTTCTTGAGTATGAACGCGTCGTATGGAACCAGATCGGGCTATCTTGTATACTAGGACTTAGACAACGAATTCGAGCATAGGATGTTGGCGCAAGTCGCCGTGCACATATCAACTTGCATGCTACGAGGGACAGCCAGTCGTGTAGTGTATATGATGCGCCTACCGGTACATGAAACTCGCCCGTGAGCGGAGCGCATCGTGGCATTTCACCCACGTGAGTCATCAATGCATCAATGGAATTCAGGAAAGTCGTTCGCGCGTTAACGCTTGCCATCCGCATCCATGACAATACACTGTTCGCACGAACGAATTCGGACTCGAAAGAGACCGGCTCGATTAGGCAACATATCTTAACATGACCGAGCGTGTAAACAGGTTCGTTTGCATCCGATGCAACGGGCTTTGAACTGTACCGGAAGTATACGACCCCTGTCTCTCGGTAAACGGTCCTGTATAAGTCTAGTGAGTGGCGCTTGGTGTATGTGACGCCCATTGGACGCTGTTGACATGCCCGTAGATGAGCACTTCTACCTGCTTGTGCCCGCAACGACAGGGAGGCGATGTTGTCGTGTGGTGGCGAGGAGCGTCTCAGAGCAGCATCGCCATGTTGCGGACTGGGCTGACGATGACATGAACGTCTCAGATTTAGCTATAGGAGAATATTAATACAGACGTGCAGTAAGTTGTTCAACCCTGTTCTGGAATGCCGTCCCTCACGCTGTCCAAGGTGCCCTTCAAGCGGGGCTCTCGTGACCGGAGACTGTGCACGCTGTACGAAGTCAAGCAGCCCCAAGTCCACCCTGGCCGGCGTCATTGTACTGCATCCTCTGTTCGACAAACCCTGTCGGAAGATCAACGTAGGGTGCTCCTGCTACCCGGGCGCGCCCGGACATATGTGTATCATGCGACGCAGGGTTCGAAAGCAGCCGCGGACCTTCGCGAGTATGCCTCACAGATCAAGGTCAATAGTCCAGGTGCGCAAGGACTGAAGGAACTAGGTGCGTAGCAATTGCGGTGTTTATGTAGTAGCGTTTTTAACAGCCTAGGCAGGCTTTCTCGAGTTGGAAGTGGGTGATGCGGTATTCTGTCGACCTGCCGGGGGTCGATCTGACGGCGAGGATGATTTGTTACAAGTACTGGTTCTCTCAGGGTGCGTGATACATCCTTAGGCTCAGCGACAGGGGACTGATGACCAGCAGTGATGAAGTCGACCAGGAAGTTCGCCAGCGGATAACGGACTCGCGTGATGAGCTATTGGGGCCTCGAGGTCTTCGATCGCCAGGCGTACCTGTTGACGGTGTCGGGGGTAGTGCATTTGAGCGGTCGATGTGGGCGTGCTCAGTGGATGGACACAGTCGAGCTTATCCATTGGGCATTGCTATTCAGCCGAACAACAAAGTCATAGCGCCGACCCGGTCCAATAAATTGAAGTGGGACGACACTACGCAGGAAGGTCCTCGCATGCGCTGGAACGCCTTGAAGGTGATGTCATCGTGCTACATCGTGCGGGATTGTACTGATGGGCGCGTAGTCTTGCATTGATGCGTCCATGTCGGCGGCTCGCTTCTTGCCTCCGGAATTTTTGTCTGCCATGGAAAAGCAGTCGAATCTGGTCAACGCGCCCAGAATAGGCAATGAAAACAATAGTCTATTCTCCAATGTTCAGGTCAACATTGCCACTCCTGTGAATTTTCAGTCTAGTACGTGCGCGTAGCAGTACTGAGAGAGATTCAATGTGACACCACTCGCAGCATCGTGTACGCTATCCGACCAACTTGGTCATTTCGGAGGAATTCATGCCGATGTGGGAGATCTACCTGAGGGGTATTCTTGCATGACAGCGTACTCTGACTTACCCGCGGATATTGATTCTGGTAAACTATGACGCTTACATCTTTCGAGGGTAACTGATGAGTAACAATTGAGCAGGGCAGTTCAGCATCTTCGAACTCGGTGTGTTCACGCAGCTCGTTGGATTGAAATTCGTCTTCTTCAATGGCGTGATGTTCCATGGTGGGAGTCCACCACGGCCGCAGCGAGAGGACGTCGTCATTCCAGCATGGGCATATCGTGTGGTATATATTGCCTATCCTCAAGCCGCTGTCTATCTGGCGCTGGGAGTTTACATGATTGGCGCTTTACGCGGGCAAGACTTCCTCGGACGTGCATTGGAGCCTGCCACCGAGGACGCTCGTGAAGAAGATAGGGAAGAGTTTCGGAGTGAAGCTGGCAAGCTTCATTTCTCCCTCGGCCCAGATGTCCTCAATAAGTGCGTGATTAAAGTGTGCGCCTGTCACCCATTCTAAAGCTCGCGCTGTAGTCCCGAAGCGGTATCCCAACGAGGGTGGCTCACGCATCCCAACTTCGTTCAGGATGGACATTCCATCATGAGCGTAATCAGCGTTATGACATTCGTGACAAGGTGTTTATACTTGTTCGTGGTTTTCGTGCTTCGGCAGTTACCAGATGGATACGAGGTGAGTCGTGCAGTGCACACTTAAGGGCTTGTCTAATCGCTGCATGTTGTTCGCAGGTGACGGTCGATGCCGACAAATTCTTCAGCGCCTTCACGTACGAGAGTGGAGATGGGCGAAAATCTGTTCCGCCGTGGAGTCTTGCCCCAAGCATGAGAGGTGACAATGTCTGCTTGAGAACTACATGCAGTATTCTGACGGGCCGCTTGTAGACAATGATGCCACGTCTCGCAGGCAAGCGGCTGCGAAAGAGTGGACCACATTCTCGCGGTCTCGCACAGACTTGATCCCTTTCTCTATTCTGCGCAAGCAAACTCGAGAAGATCTTGTCAAGAAAGGAAAACGTGCGGCGCGAGTATTTGCGGTCCTCGCTAGCCCGGAGGATCCCGATGCCATTGCTGCGTCGGGGCGACCATCATCCTCGTACTATCAACCTCGTACGTGTGCCCAGTCATGGGCAGCGTCCCCTCAGTATCACGAACATAGCTGATACACTATGCAGAGTTGCCGACACGGCATGTCGGCGTTGCTTCAGATTCTTCCAAGAAGCGCAAGCGAACTGTACATGTCGCAGAGCCATCGCCTAAACCGTCGGATAAGCGTGGCTCTGGGTCGAGCAGTGATACCGATGACACCGACGAAAGCTATCGCCATCCATCACGCGGTTCGTCAATCATCAGTACATGCGTATAAGCTTGTTCACATGAGTTTAACCTACAGTGTCTCCAACAACTGCAGGCGGTAGAGCGCCGCGTCTCACTAGGTCGACTATGCGCTTGTCGGATCGAGTAGCTGGTATTGAGGGGTCTCATCGGGACGGCCTAGGTAGTAGCAGGGCATCGAACCAACCAGCGCTCAAAAGGGTCAGGCTGTCAAACTGTTAGTTCCTATTATGTCCTCAGTAGCGCAGCAGAGTCACTGACTTGGGATCAATAGCAGGCGATCACGGCAGTCCAAATGAGGAAACACTGGACGCAGGCGTGGACGCACAGCCGCCTGAGGAATATGATGGCGTCACGCATCCAGCCGGCTTCGTTGACTCGCAACCTGATGCCGGATTTCAGGCTTGGCTGGCTGCTGAACGCCGGGGTAGCAGTGGCGTGAGAGAAGTCCGCCGCGACGTGATAGATGCAGCTATGGCGCAATACGATTCAACTTGCGCGATCTCTGTTGAACCTGGTGTCCTTCTTCACCCGTGGTATAACCCCCTCAACCGGTTGCGTCTGCGCTCCAGCAGCGATGCAGAGTATGCCGACGAACGCGCTCATTTGCCAGACTTAGGTGCGGTGCCTACAGTTGTACACATGAGAGCCGGATGTTAATGAATCGCGCATAGCTAACGAGATATTCTCTGAGGGCGGCTTGCTACGCGATATCTGGGAATCGTACTCTCAAAATCGTGATGCCTGTGAAGAGTCTGTGCCTGGGTCCCCCAAGGCCATGGGTGCTTCAGTGGCGTCTGCCCTGAAATCAATGTCATCAGGTCCGAACACATCATCACCTATCGACATGACATGCATCTCAGCCTTGTCTGAGGCTTGGACGTCTGTTCAACGCGCATGGGGACGTGCTTCAGAGGCGGATATCAGCCGACGATGTGTGCTTGTCGCCATCATGTCACATAGCGCTGCCTTGTGGGCGCGCATGGAAACGATGGCGACGCATCTTTCGCGACCCGGCTTAGGCCAAAGCGGTCTTCAAGGTCCTCTGGTTGAGGTCGCAGCGGTCTTATGGAATATGGTCCGAAACGGGGAGATCAGTCGGACCGTCGACGCGAGTCGGATACACGGTCGGGCTCAGGACAAGCAGATAGTACTTTCGTTGTCGTATGGACGACGATCGCCAAGTTCTACACTGGAGCGCCAACAGATCGTTTATTCGTCTTTGCTCACCACCATCGCCGAACTGGTGGGCGTCCGCGACACTCCGACCGCACGCTTAAGTTCATGGCTCATCTGGGCGGTCTTGGGCATTTCAGGATTCGATGGTCTATACCACGTCGAAGTCTGGAGGGCGTGGCAACGGCCGCGTACCCGCTGTATGGCACGAAGGCAAATGTCCCAACCGACGCTGGAGTCTTTGCTTCCGTACGTTCTGGGCGTCTACGAACGCGCTGTGTTGTCGACGTACCCCGGGTCATTACTTGTAGAGTTGGCGGACGGAGCTGGTGAGGAAGGGGAAGTCGAGCAGGCTAGGGCCGTGCGAAGCTTTATGGAGGGCGCATCTCGGCCAACCTGCTCCGCCACACAACCTGCTGGTGTCCTGCCAGTTGACGTACCATCGCGGGCGGGCGTAGCCCGGCAAGTCCTATTTTTGCTGGCGAATTTGATTGGTATGGTTTTTGACACCGCCGTCGCGTTAGGATACTGACGTCATTCCCCTGATCAGGCGCACATATAAATGACTTCGGCCAATGCTCAGATACCTTCGACAACTTCGAGATAAGCGGTGTAGCGACAGCAGTCACGTCGGCGGAACGTGCCCTTTTGGAGAAAGCCGCGTCACACGTGGATCTATATCTCCCGTTCCGAGCTTTCGGACCCTCGTACCTTCGCATGCTGGCGCTCTTTCATGGGCACCCCACAGACGTTATGCCAAGTACCACTGGCTTGAGGAACGTGGCTCTCACACGGGTCATCACGTTTGGATCTGGCTTCCTTCTTTCTGGACGTCAATCGCTTTGTTTGTCACTGACGGAGTGGCTCAATGGTGTGGAAGTCGCCAAGCAATCTCCGCAGGCGAAGCAAGCATCGTTCTTCGTCTGCGATCGTGTCTATGGGCAAAACTTCAATCGATCTCTGGATGAAGCGGCGCCTATATGGGCGGCTTGTGAGTGGCCTGAGGAGATCGCGCGATCGAGACACTTCGTAACATTCTGGCGGGCGCTGCATCACGGTGTTGGAAAGACACGCCGCTATAAGGTGCCGAATGTTGGGCCATTGATAGCGCTGTTGATTGCCGGTTAGTACTGTCCTTACTTGCGTTCCCACTCTGGTTGCTGAGCCTTGTTATGAAGGGGACTATTACATGAATGGCCATCTCGACGAGCCATCTACGGAGGACATGGGCTTGATGATTCATAAAGTGAACGCAGGAGGTGTGCGCGGATTGGCTCACCTCGGTTTCCTCTCGCAAGACGAAGCTGACTCTCGTGGACGTTATCGGCTGGACCTTGTGCAGGACGCGTTCGATCGCTATTATCGGTGGTCCTTGGCGTGCATTCCGGCGGAGGATCGCACTAGGTGGCGTTGGGACGTAATCACCGCAGAGAATCACCTCTGCAAAGATTCCAGGCTGAAAGATTATACGGATGCCGTGACGGAACGGGAGTGATGGTACACGATTGTCCCAGAGATGTAGGGCCCGTATGTTCTCCAAGTGGCCAGCTGATTTCATTAGAAGCCCATGATGAACTATGATACGCGTCTAAGCAAAGTCTGTTTGTATTGCTCGCGATTCTCTTGCATACTATGAATGACTATTATATGACAGAATGCTCTTGCGTCATCCCAGACGGAAAATCACTCTTTCCTCTCGCGTTCATAGCCACTGCGTCGCGCGCGCGCATTTTACGGGCTTGCATCAGCAGCCCGCCTACCTGTCTAGTTGTGTCGACTTTGGTTGTAACCGACATTCGCACGCAATGAACCCCGAGGGCTCTTCTTTCCATTTGTCTGATAGTTCGTCCCGGCGACTTGCCATGTTTGCGCCTGACGACTTGCGACATGAGTTTGCAGAGCGCGATGCACGAGATGTGAACGATGGGTCTCGTTACCCTCCTGCGGTGACGGCTGTGGATCGCTGGCTTGACGCGAATTTGTATCAGCATCATGGCGCAGACCCTCGTCTGATGACAACGGAGCTGTACAGCGATGAAGTGACGTGCGAAGTATACACAACGGCTAAGCGGGCATGTGCGTTATCAAGTATTCAAATCATCTACTGAAGCCAGTTTGCAGTATGCATATCCAGGTGATCCCCGTGCGCCGGTGGTGTCGGATGTTCATGTATTCTGGACGCTTTTCCTGCGACTCGTTCTACCAGAGTCCTCCTCCTGGGTACGCGCGGCGATACGAAGAAGCCCTCTTGCAATTCTGGAGGAATGGAACTCTGACGTTCTTGGTCGACCTCCTAACTGGGTCAACTTTATGAATGAGGACGAGGTGTACTCTTTCATGCAACCCCGTCATCTCGCAGGTGATTGCTTCGCCGAGTTAGCCACGACCATGGGCAACATACGAGAAGTAGGCTTGTTCACGTAGTTTGAGGCGAGAAATGTGCTGATACAGTGTGCAGGGACATTCTGATGCAATCCTTCGATGGGCTCGAGATGTTTCGGTAGGCGGCCCTTTGCTGCAGCCTTCTGCTGCTCGGAATGCTAATCATAATGTCACATACCAGCCGATTCAACAGGCGCGTGTGCTGGTGAGGAACGAACGGCGAGCGTACACTGCCAGAGAGAAGGATGCTCCCCGCCGCTCGTCACGTTTTCATCGTCGCCATGATCCGTATGCTTAGAATGTGCATAGTAGACTAGTAGATGCGGATAATTGTCCTGGCGGCATGCCGCAACGTGAGATCGTGAGAAACTTTGGCGCGTGACGTCATGAGACTGATGCGCCGTTGGGGGGTTTGCTCTCGACCGTCATCTCCTCCGCATGTTGGGCGCTCGCAGCGATTTCGAATCATACGATGGTATTGACAATGCATCCGTTCCACAGTGAATATCTAATTGATGTGCTGCTCTAGGTTCTTTGATGGTGTAAACCTGCTCACGACGCAGCTTCGTCGGGCGAACGGCCGAATATGAGGGCGTCTCTCAGTGTTCGCGCTTTGGAGGTTTCCACACGGGCCGCTTTATCATGGTGATGCCGTCCTTCCTGTGCGCGTTTAGCGCGCTCTACTGATGCGATGATATAGGCGTTGCGCGGTTTTCTGATGATCGTGGGTTGGATACCCAGTTCGGATGGTGGAGTGGTGGTAGGAGTATGGGCATGAATGCGATTTCGCAGCCTCTGTGAGTTCTTGTCAGCGTTGATCCTGATGACCAAACAAGCGATACTGACAGAAACACAGGTCGAGTCAACGACAGATACCGAACGCAGATCGATGTTCATAGTCAGCCATCCATTCTGAGGGATAATCTGAAAGCCGAGCTCAAGCTGCACAACCTCGCCGTATCGAACTTTCTCTCCAGTCATGCGAAAGTAGTCGTATTTTCCACTATCAGCTCCTCGTCAATTGGTCATGAGGATACGCGCGTTATACGCACCTGTTGGTTGGAGTCGCTCGATACGTGTCAACGTGGTTGCTCTCCAGAGGCACGAGGTCTTCTCGAGTGCACCAGCGAGCCATGACGCCGCATGGATCCGCGAAAGGGGAGTGTGGTAGCTGCTCCTTTCCCGGGGCTACCTTGTGTCGAGCTGTACCCAGTGGCGTTTGCGCAATAATGGCCGTCTGGTCGTGCAAAGTGATTTCGCAGGGTTCTGCCTTGAACCCGATTGGGCAGTGCGTTTGAGCCATGGCGCGTATATTCGCGATCGCTTCGGTTGCTAAGATGAACGAAGAGTGATCGAACCCGACGATAGCAATGGACTGGTTGCCTGGCGTCGACCATGATGTTCCCAGTTCGATTCTGCATATTTTATTGGTCCAGGCGGCAAGGAGATTCTGGTGAGTGCAGAAGACTTACTGTTCTGAACGGGTGAAAGGCATCATGTTGACTGCAGCGACTACGCCAGAGACTAAAAGTGACGCCTCCAAGACGCGACCATCCGGAAGCCGTTGACACAGAATGCTGTCGGGGCCCGATTCGTTTTGGACGAAAAACAACTCCCTGAGGGCGGTATGTGGCTACTTTGACGTGTTAGGGAAGTGAAACTGAATGCCAAGTTGGCGTGTACATAGATTGCGCACCGATGAATACACGTCGAGTCTATCCAGGACCGAGACGGGACGCATGCTAGCCTCCATCGCTGCGTAGAGGGCAAGTCGGTTTCGGTCTTGCCACATAAATTGTTCCTCAAGGGGCAGGTGTTGAACTTTGCGAAAGTGAGGGATGGACGACATTGGAGGGGGTGAAGGGTGCTGGCCGCTCAAGTTTGGCCACTGCTAGCCTTAAATCTCCGCACGCTGTTGAGCTCCCGAACCTTGCGAGCCGTGCGGTGTCGCCTGTGGGAAGAATGCCGCTCGTGTCGTTTCATTGCGCTCGGCTGTGTGCCCTGCGGTAGGTCATCGCGGCATTTCGGACATCAGGTTTCGGGCAAGTTACTCGGGGGAGAAGGCGTCTAGCATTAGGTACCATTTTCGCCTACCTCGTCGCCAAGCGGTTTCAGGGGCCACTACTTTGGGGAATGCGGTATGTCTACGGCCATGGCATATAGGTCATTGCACGAGTCTCTTATGCTGACGTTGTACGCAGACAAAGGATGAAAGGAGCTGTTCACGCTCGGATGGATAACGCGGCCGGGGGAGAGTACGTGTGAGGCGGTATTTGTTTTAACCCGACTTCTCTAAATTTAATGACCACGCATGCTTCAGCTTGGTGATGGTGATCGGCCCTGTACACGAAGTTGAGATTTGTGAGTGGTCGTCTTCCTTCGCTAGTGTGAGGGTGTTGAGCGTCCTATAGAAGTCATGACTGGACGGTAAAGCCTATGCGCGGCCTGCTCTCCCTTCTGCGATGCCAGCCGCACGGACGGGTCGAACGCAACAAGACGAATGCGAGAGGGTTAGCGGGGTTTGTGCTACTAAACCCCGATAGCGCGGAACGATGGCTTAAGTTTTGATTGCTCGTGTATGGAGACGCGCCGGCTACGCGGATGGTAATTCATTCGGAGTCGGGCCGCCCACCACGTAAGCGACGTCTACTCGCCTTCTGTCCTGCGTTCCACCTTGCTCAACGTGTACGTGCAGGTGAATGAGGCTACGAATGTCGCTCGTGCACGGCCTTTCACGATGGGGTGTTGGTGAAGTTACACCGTCTTTTTCATGCGTAAGCTCCCGGGGTCATTCTCACATGGGAAGACCGGTACCCAACTTGCCCGGTTTCACCTCTGCCGACCCTGATCCGCTCGGCTACTGAAGAAGCGCTTGTTGATTGCATATTGACGTTGATCCTGATCTTCAGCGCTTGTGACTCCCCTACATAACCATCGTGCGCTCTTTGGACGCTGCTGCCCCATTGCCCGCCATCCGTCCATTGCTGTTCATACTGGTCAACGCTGCATGGGCGTTATACGTGACCCGCTGATATAGTGAGCGGGCTCACAATTACATGCTCTCGTCTAATGTTCGTGACAGCCATCCGCATGCGAGGAGAGAGCGCAAGTATGTACAAGTACCCATCGATGTACGGTTGCTCTTATCTGATACACTCGTAGGTCTGCAAGCCCAAAGGCATTGGCGTGACTATGTCCCTTATCAGCTCTACGCGTCACCATCTGAGAAACTGTATCCACCAGGCTGCGCGCAAGGGTGATGAATGGATTGTGCGTAGCCCATGATACTGTATTCTGTTCGTACCAAGTGTCATCTGATCTTCTGAGCGTCCAGCTCAAGCGATGAAGATGGACATGACCAGGGTTGTAACGCTGATGATGAACATAGTGATAGCACGGGAATGGATCGCGACGTAGAAGAGGTCTGTGTGCAGGTTTTTATGACACTGCGGCGGCTATCCTCACACCTCATATACTACAGTTTCTCCGAAGCGATAGCAATCCCGCAGGTGGAGCATCTCCAAGGCGTAGCAATCGTCACCTGGATGCGATTGTGTTTTCCACGACCAATGCTGCACGCTATAGCCAAGTGGACAGTATTGCCTATCAAGATGCGCGCGATGTCGCAAATGCAGATAGCCTTCGGCCCAAGGGATCCAAGAAGTGAGTCTCAGCAACAACTTTGTGCGTCCATACCCTGTATGGCTCTATCATCTTCGTAGGCTTGAACGAAAGGGCGCGATCACAACTCGGTATGTTCGCGGGTAGCCAGCCTTTCTGCAAAGCACAACTGACGGCTGTCATTTCAAATAGTTCTATGCACCAGGAAGTCCATCGTAGTCCCAGGAATGGGTCAAGACATATCAGCACGTTCAGGAAACAGACCCCAATGCGCGGCGCTCTCGGACGTGGCATTCGTCTGAGAGACGAAGTGAACTCTGTATCAGAAAATCGGCGCGTTCCTCGTTCTGTCTTGATGGCTTATCTCTTACCCCTCGCGCAGACGCTATGCCATGCAGAGTGCGATGCAAGCTTTGACGAGGGCAGGGATCGACCCACCGATTTTCAGGGCTGCCCTCAGGCGCTCTATCAGGTTGCATCTAGCAAGAGGAAAACGCGTTGAAGTGTCCATGCTCAGACTGTCAAGTGAAACTGCACCGGAGGTAATACGTGTTCTGTCACATCATGCGGATGATCTGACCAAGTTTTAGCTGGCATCTTCCACTTTTTGCGACAAAGGAGATAGCCCGGTCCGACGATCGGGTGATTATATGCAAGTGGATTAAATGCTCATGAGGGACACCATGGCCGTAAGCGCGCGCTAGCATTTGTCATGTAGTTCTCCCGGTGTCTTGCGCGCACTGTTTAGAAGAGTCCACGTAGCATGCGGTGCTGGAACGCGAATACCTATGTATCGCGACTCGCGAGCACCTTGCCTCGTGCAAACTCAATCAGAGCTACGAGCTCGTGAGGTCTTGCTACGCCTAAAGGTGCATGCACGCTAGAATGGTATGTCTGATCATATGAAAATGAGAAAAAAACATCGCTGCGGTACATGGTGGCTGGGCGGGCTGCTATACTAGGCCGATTTGCTTAGTCCCGATTTGAAGCAGATCCTGATGACGGTAGTAGCTCGGAAAATCCATGGCCTGTAAAGATGTGACATGTGAGGGACTCTCGCTCGCATGGCTCCAAATATATATATGACGGTCCTCCACAGACGCCAAATGCATGCGAAGAGAGTATCTGTACGAGGATCTCGTGGGAACTTTAAGGACGGTCGCACGTGATAGAGCGTGGAGCACGCTCAAGCTCGACAAGGTTGCTTCTGCCACCCATCTGCAATGCCGCCGAGCACGCCCCCGCCGCCGAGCACGCCCCCGCCGCCGAGCAC